AAATCAAAACTACATTGAGATACCATGTAACGCCAGTTAGAATGGTGATCATTAAAAAATCTGGAGACAACAGATGCTGGAGAGGATGTGGAGAAATAGGAACACTTTTACACTGTTGGTAGGAGTGTAAATTAGTTCAACCATTGTGGAAGACAGTGTGGCAATTCCTCAAGGACCTAGAAATAGAAATTCCATTTGACCCAGCACTCCCATTACTGGGTATATATCCAAAGGATTATAAATCATTCTACTATAAGGATACATGTACATGAATGTTCATTGCAGCACAGTTTACAATAGCAAAGACCTGGAACCAACCCAAATGCCCATCAAGGATAGACTGGAAAGGGAAAATGTGGCACATATACACCATGGAATATTATGCAGCCATCAAAAAAAAAAAGATGAGTTCGTGTCCTTTGTAGGGACATGGATGAACCTGGAAACCATCATTCTCAGCAAACTGACACAGGAGCACAAGATCAAACACCGCATGTTCTCACTCATAGGCAGGTGTTGAACAATGAGAACACATGGACACAGGGAGGGGAGCACTACACACCGGGGTCTGTTGGAGGGAAATAGGGGAGGGACAGCGGGGGGTGGGGAGTTGGCAGGGGGATGGCATGGGGAGAAATGCCAGATATAGGTGAGGGGGAGGAAGGCAGCAAATCACACTGCCACGAGTGTACCTGTGCAACAATCTTGCATGTTCTTCACATGTACCCCAAAACCTAAAATGCAATTTAAAAAATAAATAAATAAATAAATTGAAAATATGTAACTTGCTTTAGGCAACAGATCACTTTTTTATGCTGAATATTTGCACATCAAATACTATTTTCATTCCACTGGGGAAGGACTGTTTAGAAGGATGGGCCGGGCATGGTGGCTCACACCTGTAATCCCAGCACTTTGGGAGGCCAAGGCAGTGGATCACATGAAGTCAGGAGTTCGAGACCAGCCTGGCCAACATGGTGAAATCCTGTCTCTACTAAAAAAAAAAAAATTAGCCGGACATAGTAGTGCACACCTGTAGTCCCAGCTACTCTGAGGCTGAGATGGGAGAACTGCTTGAGCCCAGGAGGCAGAGGTTGCAGTGAGCTGAGATTGTGCCACTGCACTCCAGCCTGGGTGATAAAGACTCTATCTCAAAAAAAAAAAAAAAAAAAAAAGGGAGGATGAGGATGAGAATTAGAAAGGTGAGAATTCACACTTGTTCACTGCTTACAGAACGAAGCTGAGCCCCTGTGTGCTGGGCACACTGTTCATATTTGTATTTTGTGTCACTTAATCCTCACACAAACCTTTCAAGGTGTGGTTCAGAAAACTGAGGCTCAGGTTAAGTAACTTGTCTAAGTCAGTCAGAATAGGATCTGAGCCCAGGACTGTTTTCAGTCTGAAATTCACACTCTTCCCACAATACCTCTCTTTCTCCTTCTCACTCTCCTTTTTTTTTTTTTTTTTTTTCCCCCTGAGATGTTTTTTTTGCTTCAATTGCCCAGGGTGGTCTCAAACTGTGGCCTTAAGTGATCCTCCTGACTTGGCCTCCCAAAGTGCTAGGACAAGCATGCCCACCCACACCCAGTTAATTTTTAAATTTTTTGTAGAGACAGGGTCTCACTATGTTGCCCAGGCTGGTCTTGATCTCCTGGGCTCAAGTGATCCACTCGCCTCAGCTCCCAAAGTACTAGGACTACAGGTATGAGCCACTGTGCCTGGTCCACACTTCGGAAAAAAAAAAAATCTGTAAATTAAATAATTGCATCCTCTTTCCTCACCAAAATACCTGTTGTAACACTAAATTTTATATTCTGATTATTTCTGGTCTTTTATTTCTAAATACCGTGGTTGAACATATCTATCATCCCATGCAAAATGGGAGATAAATTACCAGAGACCAGGATAATCAACTTAAAATGTGTAATTATTTAATAGAGAATTGAGACTAATTATAAGAAACAGTGCCTAATCAACAGTTGCTTCACTTTTGCTCCTTATCTTTTTATGAACTACTTCCTAAAAATTCATGCTAAAATTGCTGTCATGTCAGGGCTTGCTTTAAATGTTATATCTATAAAGAGCATGTTTCATAATGTCACATTTAAACCAGGACAGTATTTTATTGTAAACAGATGTCAAAATATTTGTCTTTGGTTCACTTTTATGGTGGCATTATCGGGAATACCAGTTTACTCACCTGGCTGATAAAATGTTCTTTCTTTACATGGCTTGAAATGTACCTAATGGAATCAGCAGCTTTTTCCAAAAAAGCAACCAGAACTTTTTCTCCATCACTAAGCTGTTTATGTTTCTTTTTTTCAGGGACTTTGCCTTTCACTACTGGTTGACTCTCCTCTTTCTCTGGGATCGAGTAGCGATCTACGTGGTCTTTCATGCAAAGTAACTTTGGAAGTTTCTGCAGAAAGAGCCTCTTAACCCAGGGGGCCATGGGGTGGTATGTGGAAGAAGATCTGTGGTGAACGTTAATGACAAACACGGTAACAATGATGGACAGGGTCACGAAAATCATGATGAACAGCAGGTACTCTCCAATGAGAGGAATGACTTTGGAAGATGATGGGATGATTTCTTCAATCACTAAAAGGAAAACTGTCAGAGAAACCAAGACCGATGTGGATAATGAAAGTTTTTCTCCTTCATCCGAAGGTAAATAGAACACAAGAACTGTTAGGAAAGACAGCCCCAGGCAGGGGATAATGAGAAAGAGGGTATAGAATAAAGGCAGGCGTCTCAGGACGAAGGAATAGGTGATAAAGGGATAGGAGTACACTCCGTCCCTTCTGTTCCCCTTCATCCCCTTTGCATTCAGTATTTCCCATTCTCCATTGTCGAAGAAGTCTTTTCTGTCAACATTTTCGTTGATCAAAATGAGGTCGACCATGGTGCCATCGTAAGTCCAGGATCCAAACTTCATCGAGCAGTTCTGCCGGTCGAACGGGAAAAACGTGACATCCATGGTGCAGGAGCTTTTGTAGCTGGCGGGAGGAGTCCAGACAACGGTTCCGTTGGATTTCACAATGACCTTGGTCATCAGGGAGCCTTCGAAACGGCCATCAGCGCTGCAATCAAAGCAGTTTCACCTTAGCAGCCGGTGGGGCACCTGCTAGTTTTTGTTTTTCTCCCAGCATTGACTATTTCTATTTTATGACTTTTCTGCCACAACATCAGGCAATTGTTTTAAAAGAAACAATTATTTCATCATTTAAAGTTGAATTTTTAAAAGTATTTTGCCTGAATCAGAATTTTCTATTCCTAGTGTTAATTGACCAATTTCATTTTCTTTTGTGATTTTACTTTCCTTTTTTTTTTTTT